CAAGAGTCATTTGAGTTAGTTTGTATTCTCCATAATTCAACTTTCTCATCATAGACAGCAACATTAGATTACTGCAGGCTCATAAATCACACAAAGCATGACCAGTAGTTAGTGTACCAATAAAATATGGAATAGTAAATCTACCTTGGATCAGTGAGTTTGGGTGAAAATTTTCGTTGGATTATTGCACTACCTTCCACCAAAGCAATATTCTCGTCATAATTCAATTTACGATTTCTAGAAAAATCTCCTTCATGAATTTAGCATAAACAGACATATGTTCGAGTGATTCACATAATGGAATATTAACCTGTATTTTTGTAAGCATCTCCGTGAACTCTTTGATTTTACCCACTTCCATTTCTTTCTTTGGTGTCTTTTTCAAGATCGAATAAGGTGGTTTGACATAATAAGGTAGATCCGGGTTAGATTCATTTAGGATATGTTTCTTGGTTCTTCTCAAATGCGATTTTATATTTATAAGTTTGCCAAGGATATCCCTTCTCACCGAGTCTTCGCTTATTTCCTCACTTTTTCCTCTGATTTTTTATTAACCTTTTTTTCAACTCCTACCTCTTCTTCAATATTCTTCTCACCCTCACTTGCTTCTTTTCTCTCACCACTAACATTTGTATTTGAAGGTACCACTTTATTTTACAACGCAATAGCTTTGCAACTCTAGTTTTTTTGAGTTGTCTATCGTATTTCCAACAAATCCCCCACTTGACCTTGTTTGTGTTGTCATTTGTCTAGATAGTTAACCAATTTATATTTTAAAATATTTACTTCAAGTGGTGATGGTTTCCTTTGTGGTGCTTGAGGAACTTGTAGAACTCCTTGACTTGTATTCAAAACTTGATTATTGCTCCACTTAAAATTTGGGTGATCTTTCCAATCAGGATTATATGTATGGGAATAAGGATTATTTTTCTGAAAGTTTTCATTATGAGCTTCTAAACTAGTCCCCTCTGGTACGCATTTTCCATTAGCATGTCCTTCTCCACAGAAATGACACCTTAGTGTCTGAACCTGACTAACATTTGTCAAAACGAGTGCGGATGTAGCTAATTGTTTTGAAATAACCTCAAATTGAGTTAACATCATTTTATTCAAATCTAATTCAAGAAAATTCTTTGGTTTAATTTTTCATTTGTTGAGCGATATTCATTTTAACACATTATTTTTATCAACTCTTTTACCTCATTTTCATTCTTAGTTCATATGCTACCTCTAACTGAGGCATCTAAAAGAATTCTCGCTTGAGCTTTTAAAACCTATGGTAAAATGTGGTATCTTCTTTATAGTGCTCATATTGTGATTCAGACATCTTTGGAGTAACAACTTGAATCTCTCTCATGCATCATATAATGATTCTGACTCACCATGGTCAAAATTTGAGATTTCGGCTCTTCTCTCTACGATCTGAGCATTTGAGAAAAATCTCTCTAGAAATTTATCCTATAATTCCTTCTAAGTCGGAGCAGTGTCATTTTACATTGCAACTAGTCTTTTTCTCAGCCTATCATAAAGATATCAAATAACTGTAATTTTACTTGATCTTTAGTCACATCATTCAGCTTGCACATCGAATAAGTATCATAGAATTTAGCCAGATGTTATCAATAATCTCTTATAGTTTTCCCATCGAACGAAATGTCTCTTAAACCTGAAAGTACAGATTTTTTTATATCAAAATTAACAGGGTTAGCAGGTTAAAAACCTAAGGATATCTGTCTATCATCAATTCTCTTGTAGTAATCCCCCAAAGCTTGTCTCGATGGAATAGCCATGTCTTCTCTTTCTTCTTCCCGTTCTTCTTTAGCTTGTTGTCATGTCTTCTCTTTCTTCTTCCCATTCTTCTTTAGCTTGTTGTGCTTCTCTTCTTGTCTTTCGAATTGCTCGTGCGGTTCTTTAGATTTCTAATTAAATGGTATCAGTGTCAGTGTCGAACTCGAACCTCGCATAAACAAACAAACAATACCTCAGTGGCACTACACCAAATAGAACTGAATAAGAGTAGAAAATAAAAAAATAAATAATAACTAAAGAGAATCAATATTAAAATAAAATGTAACATACAATTTTTCTTGTTGGAACTATTCAACGATTCCCGACAGCAACGTCAAAAACTTGATGGCTAAATTATCAAGTGAACTAATCATGTCGAAGTAATAAAAATATAAGATCGTCTCCACAATGATTGTTTATTTTAACAAGGTTATTAGTGTGCTCGAAAAGTAAATATTGGGGAGGTTTCAGATTGTTTTGCAAAACTAATTTTTGCATGAATAAGATTGTTAGAGAAAATACGATATTAAGAAAACAACCTGGTTTCATTCTGAGTCCACTGATTTTCTAGAATTATGATAAATTAACACTACCATTATACCTAAAAATTAACACCAATGTTATATCTAATTTCTATTGAGGGGAGTTACTAGAAGCATTGACATCTCTTCTTGGGCATTTTGATACTAAGTCGGTTCATTCCTCGAGCCAAAGGCTCATGATACCATTTGTTGGGGGAGTTACTAGAAGCATTGATACAAAGTTGAAGATTATACACCTTTGTGAGAGACACACCACTTATCCACCTAAAAATTTAAGGTGATAGGTGAGTGAGTTCTCCCACTTATAAATATTCAAGTCACCACATTCCTATTCAATATGGGACTATTTCCCCACTTACTCACACTTGCATTATTATTCTAACAATTTCTTGGTTTATAACTCACTCTTCATAATGATAACTCCCTAATTCCTTAGACGAGTTTGAAGCAAAACAGACAAGAACGCTCGTTGATTTCTTGATCACAAATTTATTATCTATTCCAAAATCAATTACTGAGTTTGAACAATTATTCTAGATTCGATACAGAATGTTAAGGTCAGTAAATAATATGGTTCTGGGTTCAATTCGTATGCTCGTCAACACATAAAAAGCATTACAATAAAAGATAATTAAATAAAAACTAGAATATCAAATCAATAAAATAGTACAAAATCAACTACATAGTTCAACATATTCAATCATCTTTGTCTAACAAAACCTAATCAAAAGTAAATTAGCTATTCATAGTCTTACAGATAAATACCATGAGTTTTGATGAACAATACATGTGAATTAATAAATAATGAAATCTCCAACGATTGAAAACTCAAATTCTTGAGCTCCAGTATTGCCTTGCCGTCAAAAATCCTTTCCAAATTTTGTAACCTCTTTTTTTCCTCTCTTTCTCCTTTAAATAACAAAAAAAAAAGTGTGGCAGAAAAAATGAGTCATCTCAACCGCGATGCAATCCATCGTGGCTATGATTTTTTCAATAGTTAGACTATCTATTAGTTTTAATTTTCAAAAAATTTCATCTCAATCCGTGTTACGAAACTCCGAATATAATCAAATTTATGGACAAACGTGACGTAAATTATACTGAAATTCTTGTTTCTTCACACTTTCTTCATATTTTTCTTCTTTTTGTTATGTTTCTTCACTTCTTCATTTTCTTCCTATTTCTTGATCACTTTAATTCATATTTTTCTTGAGAACAACTCCATTACATAAAAAATGCTCGTAAAAATTATGTAATAACAAAGTACCGTCACTCTGCAATCAAGCTTATATATAACTCTCATTCATCCTAGCTTCATCAATTAATTCTACAATGAAACCTAAGGTAAGATTTGCTCTTATTTCAGCCCAAAGAATCCAAACCCTCGTCATTTCTTAAACTCTAAGTTCAGCTAACAATTTAAATTCTGTTTTTAGGGTACTATAATGTTTTCGCGATAACTTTAGATATAGAATTTCGGTTGAGTTGATTTTAGTGTCAATACAAATTAGACTCAATTACCTTCAAAGTAGACACTAATTTCGTTAAAATCCATTGAGTTTTGATATAGAAAACTGAGTTGTAAGATAAGAATTTCTGTTGTTCTGTTGAGGAAAATTTAATATGTCTTTATGTAGAAAGATGAGAATTAAGTATATAGGGATTGAAGGTATGATTTAGTTTACTAGAAATTATTTAATTCATACAACTTACATGGAGAAAAAGGGAAGGGCTGAAGTAAAGTAAGTAGTTTAGAAGTGTTTTTTTCTCCTTAGAGACTTGGCAAACATCCGAAATATTAGACTTCTTCATTTACAAATTATCCAATAAATTATTAAAACTTTGTTTCATGTCAATGCATAAAGATTTCGAAATTAAAGATCTCGAAAGTAGTAGTCGATGAAAATTTGGACTGAAGTTTGAAATTTTTTGAAGAGGAATGAAACTTGAAAGGTCCTAATTTTATAGAAACCAAATTTCCATACCTTTTTCAACATGTAAACTTGTAAAGATTACATTTTGTAAATTCCTCCTGATGATGGAACTGGAAACTATACAGTTCCACTTTTCTTCAATGCAGCTTCTTCATCCATCATTCACCCATCAAATATTCTTGCTCTAAAATCAGCACTGTGCAAGACTTGTCCACCATTGATGTATATGAACATATGCTCCCAAACAGTTGCAGTTTTCACCCCCAAAATATCAACTGATAAGGTTGTGTATGCCATAAACGTATTTTAAAAATACAAAAAGTAAAAGTTACAACTGAATACAACAGAAAATCAGCCCCATCAGCCAAACAACCAGCCAACAAATTTTCATTTTCTTATATATATTATATATATATATATATGTAAAAGGAAAAAAAAGAAAGAAAAAAAAAAACAGATTAGTACAAAGACCTATGACTACCCGACTGCATTCTGTCATCATCAGGAGGGTTCTGAAAGCAAATCTAGCATTCTTCATGCTGCACAGGAAGCTGCCCAAGAACCACTCTCTATCCAAGAGATTGTGCCTGTGTTTGTAAGCACTTTGCCATACTTAATCCGGCGTCCATAGGCATTTTTACTGTAGTTTTTCAGAAGCAAGAAATTTTACTGGTGAGTGAATGCACAGTTATGTGATCACAAACAGGCACTGTAAAGGCTCTCATGGACCTGGTTTCTAATCAAATTGAAGATTATTAAAACCATTTACTGCTCCTAACCCACTAAGTAGTTGGCTTGACAAATCCTGTTGATGATTCATAGCCTGTTCCCGAGTAATCGATGACATTCCTCCTCTTCCATTCATGACTGAATTGTTTCCCATTCCTGGCCTCATTCCATTAGGTAAACCAGATGGACCGAGCCCCATAGTGCCATAACCACCAACCCCAACACCAGGATTACTGTTCACACCTCCATTACCCATCATGCCATTGCCACCGTTGAGGCCAGTATTAGTACTCCCTGGTAGGATACCATTTACATTCTTCATGTCATTTCCAAGAGAATTAGCACCTACCATTCCACCTGTTCCGTTCATCTGGGAGGACATCATCATCTCATGAATGATTTTCTGGACTGAGTTCTGTGCATCGTTACTAGGGTCGACTTCACCAGAAATAGACGTCTGTTGTTGTTGCAAGGAAATATTATTAGCTGGTGAGTTTGCTGTACCCATGTGATTTGCAGATGGTATACCCGGGTGAGAATTTTGAGGATTGTTAGATGAGGACGGTGTCGGTGAATGAAAAGGTGACGAGTTTGGTTGCGCTTGTGGGACTGTATTGCATGAACCTGGTGATGGAACATGGGAAGAATTACCTCCATATGGACTGCTTGCATTGTTCATTGAATTTTGCTGCCTAGCATTCATAGAGTTCTGGTGGAGAAGTCCAACAATGGTGCTTGTGGTAGTCGATGCAGATGCTGAATTAACATTGTTATTTACACTTGCCACACCATTGTTAGAAGGAATTTGCATGGAAGCAGCTTGCACAGAGTTCTGATCACCATTTGAGTTATTGGACGCCATATGCTGTTGTTGCTGCTGTAATTGATCTTCAGACTGTTGCGCCTGACTATGAAGTGCAGATGAATTACTTGTTCTCCGAGGGAATTTGGACAAGCTGTCTGAGAGAATGCAAGAAAAATGAACACTCCATTATTAGAAAATCATTACAATCAAATAGATAACAATATTAAGTTGACTGAGAACACAGTGACAATGGCCAACTCAAATAGTTTCAAAGGTTAACACTTTCCTCAATTTAAGGGACATGACACTGTAAATAGTTTGACCTTATTTTCCAACCAAGACAACTATGAAAAAAGTAGGAAGTGTCTTCAAATATCAAACAACGAGTAGCACAAGATTTTTCATGGGAATTAGTTGAATGCCCAAAACAAATATACTACTCCGTCCCATATTATAAACAAATTTTAACTTTTTGAGATTCATTGAATAATTAATGTATCTAATCTATATATAGACCAGATACATTAATTATTCAATGAATTTAAAAAGGTGAAATTTGTTTATAATACGGAACGGAGGGAGTAAATTATAGTTCAAAACTACTCATTTAGTCTCTAAATTTTCAAACAAAATACAATTTAGATTCAACAATTCAAAATCAATTAGGTTGACTCAAGTTTCATTGAACGCAAGTCTACGATGTGCCAACCTAATGGTAAGAGCTTGACATCGTAACCTTAACTTAAGCGACAGAGTTTAAATACCATATGAGACAGCTTTAAAATAGCTCATTAACGCCACCATTATTAATAATAATTTCCCTTCCTCATTTTTTTTTAAAAGAAGTTTCATTGAGTGCAAACCAATATTGTATAAATGGAAAATGATAAGTAAGCAAACAGCAATACCGCATGGAAAACAGAATTCTAGTACTTCGTGACAAAGAGCTATATGCAATATGCCAGTTCACCTTGCATTCATGAAAAACTAATCCAATCAACGATCACAAGTGACTCATGAACTGGCAAGGGATACTTTTTCCACCACTGATTAAAACTACGTATTATTTTCCCAACTGTAACATCCTTTGATGATATTTTTAATTTAAACCAAAATGTAATTATCGACTTAAGATGTGACGGAATGAAAACTGACAGCAAGAACTCTATATAGCTTGGAAACTAAAGGATATGATTAATCAGTTTAAGTTGCAGAGCAAAACAGAATTTTTATTTAGAATGAAACTATAGGTACTAATAAATAATTCAGCCTAAATTTTAATATAAACTGATAATAACAGTGAAGTTAAGCTCATATCCATTCACAAATGTGTTACAAAAAAGTAAACAGATCAACTTACCCATAGGTCCAGTTCCTGTTTCTCTGCTATAATCTATCAAGTCTTTCATACTATTTACCACTTCTGATATCTGCAACATAAAGAAGAAAAAAACTTGTCAAGTTAAGCTCAGCAGACCCTACTTTAAAATATATTGGAAATCATACTTAAAGAAATTAATAATTTTTCTGATAACTCTCTTTCAATTTTATTTATATACACTATCATCATTTTCTAACATCTTGCCAACTAATTGGGTAACTAGCTAAGTGGGTGGGGCTATGGCTACCTACTGGAAGTTAGGTAGTGCGAACTTGGACGTTACATTTATACAAAAAATACTTACCAAACAGACTACAAATCTTATTTGAAGAACTAGGTTAGAGTCTAGAAGGCAACTAGGCAAGGCTTCGTAGAGCCGGACAAAACATGTGTTCTGATTTATGTTTGGGGCATTTCAAAAACAGAAAAGGACACAAGTCTTCAGAGCAGTAAATATTGGTCCCCTTAAAAAGGTGGATAAAAAGAATAGCCTAAGCCTATTCCATATTATTCCATCCATGCGCTAAAACTACATGAATCTGAATTGCATGAAGATTTAGGAAATAAAAAAAAAAATCTCAATAATAGGTTCGGGAACTATTGGTATGAAAGTTATATTATTGAGATTTGAGTATTAACCCTGCATAAACCATTTTGCAAATTGATGCTTCACAACAGACATTAAAATATTTGTGACACACCGTGTAATGTGGAAGTACCTCAAACAAAACATTAGCTAACAATTGAATGACTACACACCTAAGCTAAACCTGCCAGTCTATTTAGTTTCAGTAGAGTCGCAATAGCATTCAACTACTGGTTAATAATTACTCCATCTGTCTCATATTACAAGTCGTACAAGGTTATATACTTAATTACACTTGAGAAAAACATTGAGTGTTCTTTTTTCCATGATAAATGAGCTTCGCTAACTAAAATAGCCTTATTAATTAAAGTAGTTAGTGGAGTAACTAAGTGGATTGAGGTAATATAAATAAGGGTGTTAGTGGAAACAGTTATTAATGTTTCATTGATATTCTTAAATAACAAACAATATGAGACATACAATCATTCTAAATGTGACACTTTATATGATATGGAGAAAGGAAGTACTAAAGAACATGTCTCAATAATTAGAGCTTACTTGTAGGCACCGCACATATCTCTTTGTGTATCCTAAATCATTAACCAATGGAACTTCTAAGGCTTTTGCCAGCTGACGAGCTGATGCCACAAACCTGGAAAAGCATCAATGCAGCAAATAAAATTAGGAAAAGAAAAAGAGAGAATTCTAGAAACAAGTGAAATAAGGAAAATAATTTAGAATACACACAGATCATGAAAAGGGGCACAATCAAATGGGAAATGATGGCATCAGATCATGCAACTCATTAAGTGATAAACAAATTAAAAATAAGATTTCCTCAGAAACTACTATGAAGCATCACTAAAGATGTATATCCAAGAAGGTCAGGCCAAAAAGAAGGGTTGAAAAGAGAACAAAACAGATTGCAGACTAATATTTAAAAGACAACAAAACAATTGCAGTTTAAAATTTAAAAGATGGGTACATTGAAATTTAACATGCAAAATCCCTACTTAAAGGGAAAATTAACCAAGGGCTATTCCATCATCTCGGAAAAAGAAATCACAAGAGAATTAACAAACAAAACTTTCAACTTTTAAAAAGTGGCATTGGCTATCACAAAAGTTTCACAATTAGATAATTTAGAGGAAAAAACGCCAGATCAGAAATAATATAAATATATGAAAAAATGGACTCACAAATTGCAATTATTTTGTAACTCTGGAATGGATAGATTGGGTGCTGCATTTTGTGTACATGCCTGATATTTTTGAGCAACTGCTCCAAGCTGAGTAACCTGATACAAGATTGATATAAGCATAATGTATAACACACTTAATTGGAAACAACAATTTAATTCTGTAAATACTAATCTGTTAAAACCTCTATAAGCCATTACTGGCAAATAATATAACTGGCAACTAAGGATATATAGATTTTATGGGTAGCGGTAGGCATATATGTTACCATATGAAAATATGCTATAGTCATATGAAACAAAAATATAAAAATCGTTTAACTCCACACAAAATTTTTATATATGTCGGCCATCATAGCTTAATATTTAGTGAGCATGTACTGATATTAATATTTGATACAAGATCAAGATATAAAGAAAGTATTTAATCAGCAACCTGAGGAATTAACAATCTTCTGGGGATGAGCTCTTCATGACGCCGAGCACAAAATTCCCAAGAGCATATCTGCAAATGAAAAAATGAACAAAAGAATGTCAACTAAAAATCATGTCGGATATAATATAATTATAACATCAATAACAATGTAAGCTCAGATTTGATTTAAAGCTCAAAATAATCATTCATATTCATAACCTTCAGATCTGGGGAGAAAACTATTCGAAGTTGGCCATCTCGGACAACGCGGAGTTGCTCAAAAACACTTTCTTGTATTGCTTTGGCATAATCTAGAACAATCTGGCCAGAGGAATTGTGATATTCACGAGGCATGTCAACATACAAAAGCTCTTCTAAAGTACCACTTTCATACTTTATTTTGAAAAGCCTGGGAAGAACTTCAGCAGTTGCCTCTGAAAATACAAAATTTCAGAAATAGGTCAAGACATTAGTTCATGTGTTAAACCTACCAACAAGTTTGAACATTTATAACACCAATATTTAGATGTTAAAGAACCAAAAGTAGATAAAATAACAGAAAGAACTTACCAAACCCGCGGCCAGGTTTACGATTACATATTTCACAGTGCCATATATCCTGAAAATATTTCAAAAATCAATAGGTTAGCTTGAAGAAATGCTTGCTTTTTGAACTTAACATGGCCACACCTTAATAGAATATTTGAAACAATAGTGGCTTGAGATATAACATTATGGCAATCATAATAAAATGAAGACGTTAATAAATGAGTACAGTACAGTGGAGAACGGACTATGGACATCATTTAATAATCAAGATACTAACTTAGATGAGGCTACACATGCATCTAAATATGGTTTAGTCTTGCAGCAGACCTGAGGGAAAACTCCAGTTGTTTGTCTGCCACTTCCATACATGGAAACGCACCACTTCTTTTTGGCATTAGGAGCAAAGTACTCAGCAACAAATTTCCTCCAGAAATCAATGTTGTTATCCTACATAAGATCAAGTGCAAATGTATATTAATATAATATAGTATACATATTTAGAAGAGCAAAAAGTAGTAAGAATAATTATTACTTCAGGTCTATGTTGTTGCTGATACATGTAATGTGTCAGCCGCCTAGCACACATCCCAGGTTCATATGCTGGTTTCACAGGAGACCTTATAGGCATATTCTGCTGTTGAAACTGTTGCGGTAGCTGGGACCGTTGCTGCTGAGGCATTGACTTTAAGAGTTGCTGCTGCTGATGTTGTTGATATTGCATTAGTCTCTGTTGTTGCAAAAGATTCATCTGTGCAGCAGTAGCCTGAGAGGTTTGCCTTGACATATGGAGGAGCTGTTGTTGCTGCTGCTGTTGCTGTTGTTGTTGATGCAAAAATGGTTGATCACTATGTTGGGGCTCCATTTTTACAGGTGCCATACCTCTCATTGATTGAAGTTGTTGCGGTTCCAATTTCACTTGAGCAAGATTCCTCAGTGATGGCAACTGCTGCCCAAACTGGTCATTGTTTCCTTGAGGCTCCATCTTCACAGGTCCAATACCACCTATACCTCCTCGCATTGATTGAAAATGTTGCTGCTGCTGTTGATGTTGTTGTTGCTGTTGAGAGTTCATTGGAGCCGAAAACTGCTGCGCTGACTGCTGCTGACCATGTTGGAAATTTTGAGCGTCGAGTTGTTGGGAATGCTGTTGATCCGACAACAACTGGTTACCAGAAGGGTTTGAAAATTGCTGACCCTGACCTTGTCCTTGACCAGATGACCCAGGGTTAGCCATATTTGATTGCCCAAACGACGAAGAAGGATTACCAAATCCCATTCCATTGCCAACACCAGACAAAGGATCCTGTTCAGCCCCAGGATCCATACCACCACGTTGACTATTTCCCAATCCACCAAGTCCCGAGTTCGGAATCCCATTGGAAAAAGACTGATTCATCATAGAAGCAACATTAGACATGTTCCCTAACATATTCATGTTATTATACTGATTTCGCTGAGAAACCAACGAAGGAAACGAAGCTTGTCCACCCTGACCCCCCATCATCCCCGAATTCGATCTCATAAGTGAAGGCGACCCAGATTGGGCACCACCAATCGGAGTAGGTGGCCCCGGAGGCACCATTCTTCACAAACAACAATCACTCAACAACACTAACCACACAAAAAACACCCAAGTAGTACACTAAACATGAGTTCACCCAAGTAACAAATCACCCCAAAAACTTTAGATAACCAAACACGTAAGTACACACAAAAATTACAACAGCAACAAAAAAGTTAAACCCAATTTCCAAGCCTTATTATGCCTCCAAAATTACACTATCTCAGCCAATAAAATGCTCAATCTTCAATCTTCAAACAACTTCAAAATGAATCTCTGCACAAAACAAACGAAAATACAGATCCAAATCATCATCCAAACACCACAAACTCACTAAACAATAAACCAAATCAAAAATATATATATAAAATTACCAAACACCAAAACTTCAAAAGTTTCTTTCAACATAATACCAAATCAGCTACTACAACTTCAAAAATCAGCTTCTATTTCTCAACCAAGTCTAAGCTCAATTGAAGAAAAAAACGAAAAAACAACAATAAATCAAAAAAAAAAACGGTTGAGTTCGAAAAAACAAAAATAGTAGCTTAAGATCGAGTTGTAGGTGAATAAAATTCAACGATCCATAACTCAAACGAGTTGAAGCGAAGAAACTTACCGGAAGTTGAAATTCAAGAGAAAAAGAAATTGAATTGAGTTGAAGAGGAATGAGTTCGAGTTTCCGAGTTAACGAGTTTATCTAGGGTTTGTTATTTTTGTTCTTCTTCTTAGTAGTGAAGATGAGGGACCCTATGGTTCTGTTATCTGAGAGATTATTTTTTTCTAGAGAGAGAAAGTAGAGAGAGAAAGTTATGTGTAGCGGACGTGAAAATAGAATTGGATCTGATTGATTTTTTGCTTTTTTTTTCGCTTTCTCTTTCTTCTTCTTCTTCGTCTTGTTTTGTTGTTAATGTAACACTTGCACACACTCTGTCTTCTGAAAACAAGTCAAATCTTATTCTTATTTCTGGCCTGTCTGTCTTTTGGACATGTATCATGCATTACCATACCATCATCCATCATGCATTATCATTCATTATGTATGGGTCATTTGATGCTCATAATATAAAAAGGTAACATGCATACTCATCATTAATCATTACTACCATACTTGCATTCAACCATGTAACATACATGCATCATAGCATGTATGGTTTATATTGTATGGGTCATTTGATGTTTATAATATCATTAAGATATGTGAAATAAGAAACCCGAATAAAACGGGTAACAAATATAAACATCACAAAAATTGAAGAATTAATCAACATAAAATTATATAAAATATTTTAAAATAAAATTTAAATATTTTTTATTTTTTTATAAAAATTTATGTAAGTTAGAATTTAAAAACTCAACAGTATCATCATCGGATAATTTTCACACTTATAAAATATTTATAGAGATAATTATATATCACATATTAATAGATTGAAGTTAAACTTGTAATTTCTCGATTAATCAATTCCTTATGCGAAAATCTTTCATCAGTAATATCACTATTAAAATTTTAAGAGAATATTTAGATATAATTCTATAAATGTAATTTATATTTTTTAAAATAAAAATATGATAAATATATTAAAATATTTTTTAAAAATAAAAATAAATAAAAAATATATACATATATAAAGAAATTATATATTTATCATATTTTCATTAAAAAAGTATAATCATATTTCCTTAATACATTTAAGTTTTTTCTATTTTTTTATATTACTTTCTTTTTTTTAGGAATGTTGTTTTATTATCCTCTCAGATAAATTGGAATAATGCAAAGTATTACCAGGGGGGTAGTTAGTTACTTTGCTAAAACATAGTAAAATGTTGATTTTCTTTAGTGAAATGTCGATGCTGTCCTTTTCCGAAAAATGTTAAGCCGCACAAGCATTATATAAGCCTAGAGAGATATCTACATTGATGCATGGTGTGGATTGGGGTAATGGGTAGCTTATCTTACCTTGGATTGAATAAAGGAAAAAAATAAAATTAGTGTTACCTTGGATTGGAAAAGGTGATGGTCAGGTTGTAGACCTATGGTTGACATTGGTAACGTATTAAATCCAAACATGTGTGTACTCAATCACCTTGACTGTTTGGTTAAAGTCCACTACAATAATCTTGTTATGGTGATTACTTATAAATTCAAGAATATTTTATGTATCCTAAGTTGCATTGATTTTTTAATTTCTAGTATGTTATGATTGTGTTTTTGAAAATAAAATTCAAACTATTTTTTTATTGTTAGTAAATTTATTTCTTAATAATTTATAAGTTTCACATCCATTTAGATTATAACCATCGTTTTTTAATATCTATTAATCCATTTTCAGATATTTCATTATTATTTTTAAGATATTTAATGTGATTTTTAAATTTTACTATATTTATTTTTATTTTTTATTTTCTTTATTAAGCTTAACACATTTTATTGATCCACAAAGTTTAAAATGATTCTAAATTGGACCATTTCTTTTTTTCTGGAGTTATTCTTTGTGATTATTTTTAAATTGAAAATTTTTTGAATAATAAAAATAAAAAAAGTATTAAATAATTGTGCTAATAAGTAAGATATGTTTGGTGTAACACTTAGGTTAAAAGAAGAAGTTTAATTGAAATTTTTGTGCTTGAAACTTTGTGGGTTGATCACTCTTTTACGTTTAGGCAAGTTTTTGTTTCGATTAGCTTTAGAAATTATCTCTTGTTTGTTGACCAAGTCATATTACAACCTTGAAAAGTCCTTGTGATTCTTGCCTTTATATGTTCAATGTGAAATTTTGGATGAATGCATAATTTAGTCTTTTGTTTTCAAGATTGTTGAATGAGTGTCAAATCCTCACCTTTATGTGTTTTTCATCCATTGATGAATTTTTGTTAGGTGTGATTCATGATGTGAGCTTGTATTGTTTTAGAATATTTGACATGATTTTTATACTTAGGATTCGTTTCGTTTTCATGTTGTCGTTGTAGGATTTTAGTAAGTATTCACTTTGCTTGTACGTTTTTGTTTTGGTTCTAATGTGTACAAATAAGATTTTATTTTCATAAATGGTTCTAATGTGTACGTTTACTCTGTTATGAATAAAAATATATTATGAAGTAGGAATTGAGTATTGTTTTTGGAGGAAGGTTTTAAGCAACTCCTAGTATTTGATTTAAAAGTGTGATCTTCCTATTTTTATTGTACATCTTGTTGTGATTGTAACTTATTTATAGATAATCCCTCTGGTTGGAATAGGTTTTTTATCACTGCGGTGATTGGAAGTGGGATGTCGATTTCTCATATCTAGGGAGGACCTACGTAGAACTTGCACTAGATAGGGATTAAGCGCGAAGTTGTAAGCTTGGGACTAGTTTAGCTTCAAACTAATACTGCTAATAGTGGATTTCCTTCCTGACTTTGTAGCCTCCAGAGTAGGTGAGTTATCATCTTATTGGATTAATATATCGTTGTATTCTTTCTTTTTCTACAAGTTATAATCTCGATGCGTTATTGTTTGTTATTCTATCAGCGGATATCATAACATCTGTTGTGACATTGTGTGTTATTAAGACATCAGTCTTGATTTCTGTTTTTATGTGTGCTAGAATTTCATCTTGATTTGGAGATCAAAAGTCCATATGAATCTCAAAGTCTCATATACAACTCCAAGTAAAAGGAAGAACTAAATTTAAGTCCAAAGTCCAAAATACTCCTCAAACAAGGGATAGTAACACAAAGTCCCATTAAGAATTTTTTTTTAGGGTTTTAGTCATTTTATTAGATGTTTTTGGTCTTTTTAAAGCAATAAAGCAAAAGAAGATAAAGAACAAATAAAAGACATAAAGTAAAGAGCAAAACAAATGTAAGAATGTAAATGACTTGAAAATTAAATGACATAAAATAAATGACATTATTGTAAAGAGCATAAAAGAAAAAGTTAGATGTTAGCACGATTAATATGTCAATGTTGATGTTAATGAGGATTCAACCGATCGGGACAATTTAGCGTTATGTTAAGCAATCATAAATGGACTTATATAGAATTCACACCTATGTGAGAGCTGTCAATAGTAATTTATGTGTCATACATGTTAGAGGAATGATACAAAATCATCCTTCTAAAAAAATATAACACAACGATTAAAACAAAAGTAAAAAAAAGAAGATAGAGAAGAAAAAATGATCAAACACAATTGAAACGAACAAGGGATCACCTGTCATCAATTTCAACCATTCAAATTCACAATGCAATGGAATAAACTTATTATTAATCCAAAGTACTAAAAAATGATCAAATGAACATTTAAATAATAAGTTTGAAATGATGAAAGTTCATGCAACCAATACATCATTCAAAGATCAATTGAAATTGGTGAAGCATTGTCAACCAAGTATAATTAAGGTCAACAAACGCCAGAACCAAAATGAATTAAAAATGATCCCAAAAAATGTTTTAAAATAGAAACTAAATGGAAAATTTAAAAGATGCATCAAAACATCAAATAAATATCCAAAAAATTAGAAAAATATTGAAATATTACAAGTAATCAAATCTTAAAAGTTGACATAAAAATGTTTCAAAATGATTGAAAATTAATTGTTAAAAGAAAATTAAAAATAGAAAGAAAATAGCAAAAAATGCTAAAAATAACTTTTAAAATCAGAAGAAAAAATATATATGTGATAGAAAATATTTTTGTGATTTATGAAAAAAAATTGGAGTAAAAAAGGTCAAATGAGCTATTTAAATAAATTAGAAAAGTTAATGAACATAAAATGAATTAAAAACAAATAGAAATTAAAAATCAAACGGCTAGCACACGTGTCAAGGCTTCATTGGACAAAGGATTTGAATTTACCTCAATAGCGTGTGAACGACTTTGTCTTCAACCTTGAGTTGATTTTTGCATAATCATGAACTTGGAGTTTTAAGCTCAAACAACACACGTTTAAGCTTCTACTCACATCATCTTTCATGTCTCTCTGCTTCAGAGTCATTGATTGTCTTTGAGCAGAGAGAATTTTGAAGAAGTGAAAA